CATTTCTACAACCAATAATTTTAAAACACATTCTATATTGTAACCTTTTAGGGAACACTCCAGTTGCCTGACCGCTTCAATTGTTATCTCTTGCTTACCCAAGCATGTCTATGTGACTTATCACGGATCACGCCCCCAGGCTGTTGCCCACTTCTAGTTATCTAACTTAAAGCAGGTGCATTTCTAAGCTTAGCCTCAGGTTGTTTATTCAAAACTGGGTGGTCCATGCTTTAGGCAGTTAGGTTAAATGTTATTAGTCCTTTTTCCTGACTCTTGATGCCCTCTGCCCTTCTTTACACCTTCTGAAATTTCCCTTTCCATTTAGCTATACTTCCCTTTTAGTACATTTTTCTTGGTCATGTTCTTCCAAATTCTTATCCCGTCCTAGGAGTTTTCCCTCTAGGTGGGGTCCTGTCTTGGAAGGAAAGATTGCCCCAGCCCTTCAGTTTTATGCCTGGGCCCCTTCCACTTGCTTGCTATTGGATGGGGAAAACCCTTCCTTTCAAAAAAGTTTTCAACTTTTCTCTCCATGCTTTCCTGGGTAAAGCTATTTTGGAGTTCCCCTGTCTTTACCTGCACATACATCACTAGATCTTGCAGTTATCTGTGGTTCATCCCATTCCCCTTACATTTTGGGGTTTGTGGGGATACTTTGTTGACTAGTTTTGTCCCAGGCATTGTCCATGGTTTTGCTATCTAGTTACTCAGTCAATAGCACCTAAAAGAGAAATGGCCCTTGATCCATGTCATAAAAAAAAAAAAGGAAAACTTTGTGAGTCATTCTCAATAATTTGCATTATGGACTCTGACTTGAAATAAACACATTAATGCAGAAGAAAAAATCAAAGTGACATTCCCAGGAAAGCCCTGCCAACCAAGCTGCTTATCAGTAATTATCCTTAAAAGTAATTAAATTTCCCTAAATAAACCAGGATCTCTGACAACTACTTCACATGTCTTAATGTTTTTAATTCATTCAATATATTTTATTGGGAATCAATTATTTGTTGTAAGTATGAAGCATAGCCTCTCCCCTAAACAAATTTCTAATCTAGCTGTGATTATATTGGATCCATGAAGTAGGGAGGTAATTTGTAAATTGCAATGATATACATTGTTAACCTTAAAACAGTCAGGTATTTTACCAACAAAAACAGGTTTATTCAGCAATAGCAGGGAATTACAATGCAGGACATTCAAGCTACAGAAGAATCATAGGCAAGTCTGGAGAACAGAGGAGAGGGGGCTCTTTTATAGAGGAAAAGTGCCCTGTTAGGAGGCTGTTTCTAAGCAGAAAATCTGCTGGAGTAAACTGGGAGTCCCATGTATCATGGCTTCTCATTGGTTGAGTTGTGATAGTCTGTCATCGGCTGGGCTGTAGCTGGGAGGTGGAAGGTGGGAGCCTTTTTCTTCCTGCTTGGTGGAAAAGTAGCTAAGGCAGAATGGCCTCTGTCTCTTCCAGTGGGATCTGAAATTTACAAGTGATGGGCATGAAAGCTTCTGCAGACCTCCTGATGCCATGTTATTGAGGTTTCCCATAATTACTTCCCACAGTATCAATCATTTAAATTCTTGCTGCCGATTGACTATAATGTATTATGACAACTCTCTCCTTCTCTATAGTTCTCTGTAATTTATTAAGATCACATTGCATAGACTACTTGGAAGGAAGGAAAATGGACAGGGTAGGTATATTTTTGACCTTAGACATCTTAATCTAAAACAAGATACTGAAAGGGAGCAGTTTTGTCACCTCAAGATATATCTCTTTGGCACAAAGATTACTTTGAGCTAATGATAATCAAAATCCAGCAGACTCAGGAAAACCCCCTTTCCTCAGATTTCCTCAAATTTACCTCAGAAAGGGGGCCTGTATCAGGAAGAGAACTAGTACCAGAGATACTTTTTACCTAAGAAACTCAACTGCATAGCAACCAACCTATTCTTTGCCTTCCTGTTATTGGCCTTCTTTCCCTTTGGATCCCCAGACCCCTGTCCTGTCTGTAGCTCAGGATGTTATATAAGTCTCAGTTACCTGACTGTCCTTTGGGTTTCATATTTTTATGGGGCTCTGGTATGTATGAAATTTGTTTTCCCCCATTAATGTTTTGTATCAATTTAATTAGACCAGCCAAATAACCTTAAAAGGGGAGAAAGGAAAATTTTTCTGCCCCTTCAGTGCAGAGGATGTTTACCTTCAGAAAAACCTGCAAAGATAAAGAACCAAAACCAAATTTCAAATGCATAATTGAGGTAGGAAAAATAGTTAAGTTCTTTCACCACCTTAAGCAAGAATGCAATGTGTCAAGTCAAGATTTATAAACAGATACATTGGGAATAAGAATACACATTAAAATGATTATTTAAGTCATAAAATTGGTAAGGTCTCATTCTGCTTTTGTATTTGATTTGCTTTTTTTCTGTTTGCATAAAGTTACATTTTTCTCCCCTTCATAGCTGGGTTTTGGTGTTATTTGATTTTCTGGTGTTTCTCTATGAAGAGTTCACCAGCCTACAACCAGGTCAGAGTTGGTGTCATCAGAAACCCTGACAATGGACTTTGGCTTTTCTCTTGAAACGAGGGTAGAATACCACATGTGGCAGATAGAATTCTAAATTGTCCCCTAAGACGTCTCCCTGAATAAACACCCTGTTGGATCCTCCCTGAGTGAAGGAGGGACCTATGAATATGGTAGGAAATTACTCCTTTGACTAAGTTATAGTATATGGCAAAAGTGAAGGGTGATTGTTAAGTTAATTAACTCTCGAGTGGCATCGAGTTAGTCAAGAGTATTTTAGGTGGGCTTGATTTATCACATGAATCCTTTAAAGAGGTCTAGAGAAGAAACAAGAAGTTGGAGGGATTTGAGACAGCAGCTGAAGCTGCTTTCCGGTTGGCCTCAAAGAAGTGACTGCATGTTGTGGGGAGGGCCATGTGGCGGGGCACAGCTGGAGGCCTCAAGGAGCAGAAGGCTGTAGTTCTACAACTGCAAAGAGCTGAATTCTGCCAACAATCAGTGAGCTGGAAGAGGTCTTGGAGCCTCCAGTAAGAACTCAGACAGGCTACGACCTGGACCTTAGCCCAAGGCCCTGAACGGAGGGCACGGCTTAGCCTGACTGACACAGAAACTGCAAGATAATAAATGTCTGTTGTAAGTTGCTAAGCTTGTGGTAAAGTATTACACAACAACAGAAAGCTAATACAGCAAGTCTTCATACAAGTCCTTCCCATGAATTTCAGGATTCCTACTCCCCCTTTGCCCCAGCTTCGTCCCTATCTCACAGACCTGTCCCCAGCATGATCTTTGAAAACACCAAGTAGAGAAGCTCACTGAGTACCGAGGACATAGAGGCTCAATGCCTGTCTGTCGCAGGAGAGAATGAAGTTAAGAAGGCGGACATCTGATGCTCTGGGGCACTATGCTTCACACCTTCACTCTTCCCAGTGTTTCATTGACAGGAGACACAGATCGGTATTTTTCTATTATGCAAATGGTAAAACTTTGTTTACTAAGAAACTTTACTAAAAAACTTTGTTTATTCAGCTTTGTCTCTGAGACACACACTAATTTATATTGTAAAGGGGAAGTTTCAAGACTAAACCAGGCATTTTTTTCTGAGAGAACAAGGAGACTTAAGCTACCATAACAAAGTTACACGGTGTAGCTGCTCCTACAGAAAAAAAAATGTATGAAAGTGAACTAAAATATGAAACTTCAGAAGTTTGGGGAGGGAACCAATGACTTATAGGTGCTCTATAGAATAAAATTAGTTTATGGCTTTAAAAATCAACTAATAAAATTAGTTCAAAATTTGAACTTTCTTTAATGGATCTAGTATATTTTAGCAAATTGTATAAAATATGAGTAACATTCACATAATAGAAAATACTTCATATACTGTATTTTCAAATAAAAAATTACATTGAAATATTGGGTACTATTTTAATCTATCCTATATTTGCATATTGGGGGAGATTTTTGTCTTTCTAAAAGTTCTATCTTATAAATTATGCTTACTCATTGCTTTATCTGTTTCTTGAAATTAATATATGCCAGTAGGAAAACTACTTAAATAAATGTTACATTATTGAAGGCATGTCAATATGAGGATTTTGATAAAAATCAGCCTAGATAAGCAATTACTAAAGCTGGGAATAAGTTGTACCATGCTCTTTCATATCTGTAGTTTTGAAAGTAAATGTTCTTTAATTAATTACTCAACTGCTTTTTAAAAATAATTATTGCATATAATGCTTTCTCAAATTAAAATGTACAGTGTAATTTTATGTTAGGTCAGAATCTGTTATGCTTCAGGTATAAATTAAGTATTTAAAAAATGTATTTCTTAGGTCTATGCTTTATGGACTTACAACTATTACAAAAAATTTTAACTATACACAAAAGTAGATATAAATACAATAAATGCTTGTATTGGTTTTCTATTGCTGTTATAACAAATTACTACCAATTTAGTGATTTAAAACAACACAAACTTATTATCTTACTGATCTGTAAATCAGTTGTCCAGATCTGGTCTGACTGGGCTAAAATCAAAGTGGTTCTATGAGAGAATCTATTTCTTTCCCTTTTTCAGTTTCTAGGGGCTGCTTGCTCACTGTGCCCCTTCCTCCATCTTCAAAGACAGCAAGAGGGCTTGGGGTTTTGTCAGGTTGCATATCTCTCTGACCCTCTGCTATGGTCTGAATGTTTGTGTTTCCCCCAAATTCTTATGTTGAAATCCTAATGCCCAATGGTGTGGTGTTTGGAGATGGGGCCTTTGGGAGATGTTTAGACCATGAGGGTGGATACTCATGAATAGGATTAATGCTTTTATAAAAGAGCCCCCACACAGCTCCCTACCCCTTCCACTGTGTAAGGACCCAGAGAGAAGGCGCTGGTTATGAACCAGGAAGAAGGCTCTCACGGGAAAGCAACCATGCTGGTACCATGATCTTGGACTTCCAGCCTCCACAACTTCAAGAAATAAATTTCTGTTGTTTATAAGACACCCAGTCTGTAGTGTTTTTGTCATAGCAGCCCACATGGGCTAAGACACCCTCCTTCTGTTGTTATACTTCCTCTGACTCTCATATAGCTGGTAAAGGTTCCTGACTTGTAAGGACCCAGGTGGTTAGATTGGATTGACTGGGGTAATCCAGGATTACAACCTGTCTCAAGGTCCTTAAACTTAATCACATCTGCAAAGTCCCTTTTGCCATGTAAGGTAACCTATTCACAGGTCCAGAGATTAGGGTGTGGAAATTTGTGAGGTAACATTAGTCTTAGAACCACTATGCCATGCAGACATCTCCTTGCTTCAAAATTACCAACATTTTGCCAGTATTGTTTCTTCTCCTACTTCCCCCTGCCCCTACTTTTTTGGAGGATTAAGGCAAATTCCAGAAATCATTTAACTTGCTGGCAAATACTTTAGCATATTTCTTTAATCTTGAAAAAAACAATAGCATTATCACAGCAAAATTGCCAGTAATAATTGTGTCGTCCAACATTAATTCCATGTCCAAATTTCCTGCTCTTTTCAAAATAGTGTTTTTTAAAAGCTAGTTTGTCTTAATTATGACTTAAATAAGGCCCACAAACTGCACTTGGCTGCTGTGCCTCTGAAGCCTACTTTACAGCAGGTCTCCCTCCCAACCACTTCCCCTTTTTTTCTGATGCTATTTATTTGTTAAATAAAGAAATTGGGTCATTTGGTTTGTAGAATTTCCCACATCGTGGATTTAGTTTATTGCTTCCCGGTGGTGTCATTTGTTCTGTTTCTCCTTAAGCTTGTAGTTAGTTATATGCTTCACTGTATTTGCATTTGTTTTTGTTTTTCTTTAGTGAGAAAAACATTTCCTTCAGAGGAGATGCTGTATTCTTCAGCATACATAGCGTCTGGTTGGCTGTTTTGGTGACGTTAAAATTGTTCATCTGGATATATTTGGAAATACAGTATTCTTCATTAATAATAATAATTATAACCACCATTTGCTGCTTACTTACCACGTACCAGGCATTTTGGTTGCTTCCTGTATGATTTCGTATTACATCTCACTACATAAACTATACTCACATATTTGAACAACAAACCAGAGTTGGTCGGTAGGAGACCCTGTGCGGTTTGTGCTGAGAGAACACTCTGAAAAGTACAACATGCTATAATTACATTATTAGTAACATTAGGCTTAAAAAACATTAGTTTAAAAAAGTTACTTTGATCGTCTCCTCTCACATTCCGTGAGGTCCAGGAGAAGGTGAAGGCGAGAGACCGTGGAGGACCCCCAGGAGGTGGCCTGGCAGGGCGCGGGGGCGCGCCACCCGGGGCCTCCCGACGGTGCCCGGCGCCGGCTCCTCAAGGCGGCCCGCCGCGACGCGCTCCCGCCTGCGCCCGCGGCTCCGGGCGGTTTTGCGGCAGCGGCCGGCAGGCCAGCGCCGGGGGCGGCGGGCGGAGCGCACGGCTGTGGGGAGCCCCCTGTCCCGGCGCGCGGAGAACGCCAGGGGCCTCCTGTCAGGACGATCGCCCCCGGCGGCCTGCGGCGCCCCCTCCCGGGCCCCGCGAGCGCGCTCCCCTCGCCTGCCTGGGGCAGTCCTCGTCCCCAGTACGCCACCGTTTGCAGCGACTACCTGGGGGTTCGGACGAGCGGCAGAACCAAGTACTAAGCCGATAGAAGCGTCTAGAAAACACAAGGATGGCGCCCTGGGCCAGCGTCTTGGAGGAAGACGCCGCCAAGTGACGGCCTCGCCTTTCTTTGGTCCTGTTGTCAGCACTGCAGTGGAGCCCGCGTCGCGCTGTCGCCCAGCGCGCAGCTCGTGGAGGCCCGGCCGGCCAGGCGCCGAAGCCTGCGTTCCCGAACGCCGGCGCCGGCCGGGCCTCTCCAGGACGAGTCCGGTGCCTCCGCGCGGCACAGGCCGCCGGGGCGGGGTTCCCGGGGCCACCGCGACACGCGGGGCCGCCGCTGCGGAAACAGGAAGCTGCGGGGATGCTGCGCGGCTGCGCTCCGCACAGGTGAGGAGGCGTGCTGGGCACCCACTGCGAGCGATTTTACCAGGGTCTTAATCCTGTGTTTTATGCTTCTAGGTTAATTGCCATTTCTTGTCACTGCAAACCGGAACCTCCTTGCCCTTTTAGGATTGCAGGTTAGCCTATTGCAAAAATACTCTAGAAATTATTCATTTGGTGGAAAATCTCGATTACTTAAGGCCCACGTATTAAGTTGTAGGGGCTTCTCACTTGCTACTGTTACTGGTGTAGACTGGAAAAAAAATCCGTCTTATTTAAAAAAATAAGGTGTAAAATTTAACATGCAAATAGCCATTGACCATTTTGTGGACATACTATATTTAAGATAACGAACAAGTAAGGTAAAAAGCTACAGGTTAGGGCATGTTAAACATTTTTTAAAGCTATTTTCTGGGGGAGGGAATTTAGATATTTAATTGATGCCGGGGTTCTTGTTCACGAAGCGGAAGAATGAACTTCACAAACACTCAAGGTAGGAGAGCGAGGTACCGGTTTTTATTTAGAGATAAAGTGAAAGGACAGAGCTCCTGGCTCCCGCCAGAAGGGGACAAGAGAGTCCGTGATTGGCTCATTGTCTAGGGGTTTTATGTGCGGTTGAGGATTTTCAGGAATCAGGGTAAAGGATTAGGGGTGCAGACTTGTTGAGTGGTCCCAGAATGCTCATTTTTGATGAGCGAGAGAATAAATTTTCTGCTCTGATTCTTTCTCAAGATAGCAGTTTCCCTCTGGGAGTATGTCAATTAAGACTGCCTACCCTGCCCCCCAGGTGGGCTGGGTTGTTGCCTGTTTGCTCAAGTGTGTTAAGAATCTTACTTCTTAACTTATTGTGCTGTTTATAGTTGGGCTTGTTTACTAAATTAGTCTTTTTCCTAGGTTGCAGATTACTTGGTTAGGATCAGAGAAGGAAATACAGCACATAAGTACAGTTAAAATAAGCTGGGCCTTTTAGCAGGCTAAGGTAAATTTTACAGTGTCATGATCTAAATTGATACAGTGAAGTCACAGGTTATGCAGAGACACTTCTCTTTATCTGCAGAACACTGAAACATTCCAGGCCAAGTTGCTGCTGGCCTTTTGAGCTTTAACTGATCTCACTGAATATGTCTATATTCCTAGTCTGGTATCTTTACCCTAGAGAATTAGTGTGACTCTGACTTTTCATAATGCTTATCACAGAGTTTCAATAGGGACTTCTTTGCACATTGCTACATTGTTCTGATGGTAATTATCTTGCTCTGCTTTTTCTCCAGAATCCCTCACCCTACTCTGTCTAATCCCATGGTCCCTATGTCATAATGATAGCTTTGAAGTTAAAAATCAGTCAATGGATAAAATATTTTGCTCCCAATTATGGATTGAAGCTACTGTTCCTATATGTTGGGCAATATAGAACGTTTATACATGCTTTATATGTAAATCTTGTATACTATAGTTTAGAAGACCTTGAGCAATAAATGGCATTTTTCTTTAGCTATAGTTTAGAAGACCTGGAGCAGTAAATGTCATTTTTTTTTAGCTGTGTAGTTCTCAGCTTTTTTTTACTTTCAGCGTTTGTTGGTTTCCTTCGCTGTGTACCACAGCGCCTCAGCCACTGTGGCCTCTAGGAATGAACCCTTTCTACTTTAGTAATGGTTAACTCAATTAAAGATTAGTCAGCAACAAAATACGTCTTTTCTGTTTTATTTCAGGTGCAGGAGCTCTGATTCTGGGGAACAGAAGCCAATTTAGGGACTTCATACTAGTTTAATCTCTGAGTTGTACTCTTTAAAAGGTGAGAAGGTGACAGTGATATTCCCCTGACCCTCACTCCTAAGACTTTTGTTTTTTTAAACATAAAAATAGTACATTTAGATCCAAAAGGAAGGCTTTGTTATAGAACATTGTTAGCTTGTAGTCCTGTGTGTGTGTGTTTGCATATTTCTTACCTACATTACATAAAAATTTATCATTTTAGCTATTTTTAACTGTACAGTTCAGTGGCACAAAGTACATTTACTTCTGCCACTATCATCACCATCCATTTCCAGAACTTGTTCCTCTTCCCAAATTGAAATCCATATCCATTAAATAACTGCCTGTTCCCCTGCACCCAGCAATTGGTACCCACCATCCTACTTTCTATTTCTGTGAATCTGGCTACTTGGGACCTCATATAAGTAGAATCATACAGTTTTTTATTGTTCTATGTCTGGCTTATTTCACTTAGCATAGATTCCTTCATGCTGTGCCATGAATCAAGATTTCTGTTCTTAAAAAAAATTTTAATTGTGGTAAAATACACATAAAACTTATCATCTTGCCAATTTTTTAATATATTATTTTTTAGAGCCATTTTGGGTTCATAGCAAAGTTGAGCAGAAAGTAGAGTGTTCCCATATACCCTCTGCCTCCACATATACAACCTTTCCCATTTTCAACACCCTCCTCCAGACTTGATACATTTGTTTAGACGGACCCAACATCATCACCCAGAGTCCATAGTTTGCATTAGGTCCACTCTTGGTGGGGTACATTCTATGGGTTTGAACAGTGTACTGTGAATTGTAGCCACCACTGTTGTATCAAACAGAGCATTTTCAGTGTCCCAAATATCCCCTGTGCTCTGCTTACTCATCTCTCCCTTCCTCCTCCCCAACCCCTGGCAACTGCTGATGTTTTTGTTGTGTCCATAGTTCACCTGGTCAGAGTGTCAAATAGAAGGAATCACAGAGTTGGTAGCCTTTCAGATTGACTTCTTTCGCTTAGTCATATGCATCTAAGGTTCCTCCATGTTTTTTCATGGCTTGACAGCTCATTTCTTTTTAGCACTGAGGAATATTCCATTGTCTGGAGGTACCACAGCCTATTTATTCAAACACCTACCTAAGGACATCTTGGTTGCTTCCAAGTTTTAGCAGTTATGAGTAGAGCTGCAGTAAACAAATGTGTGCATGTTTTTGTGTGGACATAAGTTTAACTAATTTAGGTAAATACCAAGCAGCACAGTTGCTGGATGATAGGGCATGAGTCTGTTTATTTTTGTATGAAACCATCAAACTGTCTTCCAAAGTGGCCGCACCATTTGCATTCCCACCAGCAGTGAATGAGTGTCTGTTGTTCCTCATCCTCACCAGCATTTGATGCAGTGATCTAGATTATGGCTGTCTTATTGGTGTGTGGTGGTGTCTTGTTTTAGTTTGCAATTCCCTGATGACGTGATGTGGAGCATCTTCTCATATACTTATTTGTCAATATGCTTCTTTTGTGAGGTTTCTGTTAAGGTCTTTGGCACATTTTTAGTTCTTCACTTTTAATTCTTCCCCCCAGCTATAGGTGGAGGAATATATAGTAAAGTTGTATATATTTAAAATGAACATGATTTGATACATGTGCATGTTGTGAAATGAATACCATAATCAAGTTGGTCAACACATTCATCACCTCACATAGTTACCTTTTTGTGTATGTGTGGTGAGAATACTTAAGATCTACTCTCTTTCTTTTGCCCATTTTTTAATTGGGTTGTTTTTTGTATTGAGTTTTAAGAGTTCTTCGTATATGTTGGATAGCCCTTAATTAGATATGTCTTTTGCAGATATTTTCTTATGGTCTGTGGCTTCTCTTTTCATTCTCTTGAACCATCTCACCCATTTTTAAACTTAAATTATAAGCTCAGTAGTGTTAAGTGTATTCATATTGTTGTCATCTAACCAATCTCTAGAGCTTTTCCATCTTGCAAAATGGAAACTCTATATCCATGAAATAAAAATTTCCCATTTTTCTCTTCCCCAGCCTTTGGCACCTACTTTTTACTTTCTGTCTCTGAGAAGTGACTTCTCTGGTCCTCATATAAATGGAATCATGTAGTATTTGTCTTTTCATGACTGGCTTACTTTCCTTCACATAACGTCCTCAAGGTTCTCATGTTGTAGCACGTGTCAGAATTTTTTTCTTTTTCCTAAAGGGCTGAGTGATATTCCACTGTGTATTGATGCATGTGTACCACGTTTTGTTTACCCATCATCCACTGACATACATTTGGGTTGCTGCTGCCTTTTGGCCACTGTGAACAATGATGCAGTGAACATGGTAGTATTCACACTACAATGGTGCAGATTTCCGCTGGTGTTCCTGCTTTCACTTCTTTTTAGCATATGCCTAAAAGTAAAATTGCTGGGTCATGTGGTAATTTTAATTTTATTTTTTGAGGGACTGCCATACTGTTTTCTACAATGGCTGCACCATTTTACATTCCCACCAGCAATGCACAAGGGTTCCAGTTTATCCATATCCTCACCAATGCTTGTTATTTTCTAGCTTCTTTTTTTTTGAAATAACCATCCTGTCTCTCCCCCTGCCCCCGTTTTGTTTTTGGAGCAACTTGCCTGACATAACACACTGGAAAATAACGCAATTGAGATGGCGATTTCCCTAGCTGCCTGGATCCCACCAGCCCAGGGTTCATGAGAGGACCTTTGGGTGCTTCTGTGTACTTCCCATTTAGAAGAAAATGTTTTCTCCAAACAGGCTCAGGTCATTCCTTCCTCCAACCGGAGAACTGCCAGTGCTTTTCCTTTGTAAGAGTTCCACATGGGGCTGGTGAGAAAAATGTTCTGTGCCCCTGTTTACCAGTCTTTACATTCCTGCCTGGCCCTTTGGTCACAGGAAACAGGAATAACTTTCTCTCCTGTTTCTATGAGTGTAGACTTCAGCATTTAAAGACAGACAGTGGATCAAAAGAGCCATAGTATGGTTGTTTGTATTTCTAAAATGTTTGGGAAAATAAGACTAAATTAAGCCATTAACTCCACAGACATTTATTGTGCACCTGCTGTTTGTAGGCCCCATGCTGGGCACAAGAAGGAGGGGGGCATGCAGAGGAACAAGACAATGTCTTTGTGTTGGGGAGCTTACAGCTGAGTGCAGTAAGAAATGCATTTTATATCATGACCACACACAGATATCCGTCATATCAGCACACATAGGCACATGTACATAAAAGTAGAAACAAGAGTTTTGTGAAACAGACTGCTATTCTTTGCCTTAACCATGTGCAGTACAGACTAGTATTTTCTCTTCTCTTTTATTCTACTCTATTTTTTTAAATTCTGGTCATGAACCACCAAAGCAACTTCATAAGCCAGTGATGGCTGTCTTCTAGCTTTTTAAAGAATTCTGGGATAGTAGATGTTACTGAGTTGTATTTTTGCAGACATTGTCTATGATGTCAGAAGTAAGAAATGTGGGTGTGATAGAAATCAAAATGCCACAGGTCCAGCCCTTTAGTTCTTACCAGGGCCTTTAATAGGGAATTTAACTCTCTTACAGACAAGTCAGGAGGAGCCCTGAGGGGCTTTTTTATCCCAGGCCAGACTGAACAGTGTTAGGAGGCCTGTATAGTTTTCCTGCTGAGTTATCATAATATGAGTTTAATAAAACTGACAAATTGAACTTGGGGAGTGACAACAATAGTATTTTAGTATTTTGCTTTTTGAACCCAAACCTGCTAATGCAAGGAAAGCTTCTAATATGGACAGACTTATTCATCACTTAATCACAAGAAGGCAGCACAAAGACTATAGTCTTTATCCAAGCCTCCATTTCCTAATGTTACAGTCTAGTGATATAAGAGGGACAGACACATTTTCCCCGTGTGTGTATTGGGCAGGCAGGGAGAGAAGGCCACATTTGGGCCTGGGTGCAGTAGCCCGTACGGCTCTGATGAAGGACCACACTCTCCTTTCATTTATCCCAGCGGAGAGCACACTTTCTCTCCTTTAGCCAGAAGAGCCTGGGAGGGATATTCCATGGAAGGGATAGTAGCATTTAGTTATTCAGATTTGTGGCTGTGGAGAGTTTAAATCATTGGCCTCTGTTATGGTTGAGATAACGATGTAAGGTTCCCTTTTAGTGAGGAAAGGACATGGGGACTCCTGATGTGGAGCATTAGAAAGTGCAGCTCAGTAAGTGAGTGGAGAAAACAGGGTCAGCCCAGGATGCCACACCTTCCAGAGTCTCCCCAGTTACTGGCCTTCATCCCCCCTAATCTGACCTTGGCTGTCTAATTTGCATATTACTGCATCTGTCTGTTGGGACTTATCAGATAGTAGTTTACTCTCTGATCTAATCCTGATACCCCTGCTTCCTGGAAAGATTTCCTTTTTTAAAAAAAGCACTTTTGTGATCATTATTTCCATCCATCTACATGACTTCAGTGGAGGTAGGTACCATGATCCCCATGGAGGCCCAGAAGGTGCGTGGCTTGTCCTTGGTAGAGGTCCGCAGGTAGCTGCTCTCTCTGTGGGTGGGCATTCGTAACATAAGATGAAATGCTACAAGGGGGCAAGTGGCTGCTGCTGGTTTCCTGTAGAGCTCTCCTGTTTTCCTCTTTCCCACCAAGAAAGGCAGGCTCATCACTGATGTTCAGCGGTTTCCTTCAGCTGTGTCAGAAGTGAGGAAGCAGTTCTGTCCCTGAGGTCTTTAGGGCTTGGCACAAGGAGTGAGCACAAGGAGATCACTTTGTATCATCTGGAAGCAGCTGCCAGGTAGGGATGACATTGCATTTCCTAACGTGTGACTTTGAGTGCCTAGTGTGATGGTCTTGTGACGTTTCTAGGGAGGGAATGGACCACTTTCTCCACTCCCTTCAGCCCTAAAAATTACTCTGTTTTTATTTCAGAAGGTGGGGGTGTGCTTTGGCCATAAGACTGAAGGCAGTTTTGGGAATACTAATGTGATGAGCAATACAGTGGGTTTTAGATAGAGGAAGAAAAGTAGTTTTCCAAGATTTGAGTGAAAGGTGCTCTGTTTAAGGATTGGTGTCAGAAGTTGTCAAATATGGCTTTCACTCTGATGATGAGTTTTATTTTTTTACATGGTTACATTATACCAGAGAGCTGATTCACGTGGTAATAGGGTTTTCTCAGGAAAAGACATGAGTGTACCAGCTAGCTTGCTCTCCCTCTTTCTGTCTTATCCTTCCCTCCTTCCTTCCTTCCTTCATCCTAAGTCCTCTGGCTGAAAAGCTCTGAGTAGGGTATTTCTTATTTCTTTGTGGAAAAAAAACAGAAGTTTGAGGGGAGAGCCAGGCCCCCCCCAAGTCTTTGCCCCCTTGTCTAAGCTGACTCACTAGTCACTGTCTCACGCTGGGCAGGTGCAGTGAGGGCAGGTGCGTGAGGTCAGACTGTCGGGAGACCTCGCACTGCCTGTGAGGGCGAGCCCATGCTTGTCCCTGGGTCATCTGTCCTGCCCTTTTTGATCCAGGGAAGCTGGGGCTACAGTTTTGTGCCCCCTCAATCCCGAGCCCCACTGTGAGCTGCACCTGTGTGGGTGATACCCACCTTCCTTGTCTGCAGGCTGCTCATCTGTCCTAATTTTTAGGGCTGAAGGGAGTGTTCTAGGTTGTAGCTGCCACCAGTGAAGCAAGGTTCTCGCCGACGAAAGGAAGCAGGTGTAGGAAAGCAGCTGTAAAGTCGTCCTGGTTTTCATGTTGGGTGGCTGGGGACCTGTAAAGAGCAAAGGTCTGCACAGTGGAAGAGTTTTAAGCCCAGGCCCAGAAAATTGGGGTTCTTCCCCTCTCAGCTTGTCCTCTAGGATCTGAGGAAACACTAAGGTTTTAGGACATTTCAACTGCTGTTTTGGCCTTAGCTTTTAGGATTTTAGGAGATTCTCCATCTTTTGAAAGAAAATGAGATACTATGATCAAATGATTGCTTTTGATATATTTGATTGAATCAAAAGAAAGGGAATTAGATGGTATTAAGGAATATATTCATTTTTCTTCACAGTCTCTCTTTTATCTCTCTCACAAGTACAGCCACATAGGGAATCCATGACCTTAGTCCCACTGGTGAATGGTTACCAGCAACATGTGTATAATCATTCTGAAATTTGATTGCTGATAGATCGGTGACAGTGGAAGAGTTGCTACTTTCTCCTCATGTGCGTGAGGTGCAGTGCTAGCTTATAGGTGGAGTCTTGCACCCAGTAACTACACATCCTGAGTTGCCTGGAACAGTCCTGGTTTACACCACTACCCTGTGTTTATTACTATTATTGTCACTTTTCACTCTCAGAGGTGTCCCCAGGGGGAAGATAAATTATATTGTTATGCTAGTCATGTGGCACCTGTGGTTCAGCCTTAGAGAACACAGAGGTGGCGAGGAAGCTCTCAGTATGAGGATGAGGTGTGATGGCTGGACCTGGTTGATAAAGATCATTCATAGATTTTCTGAGTAGAATTCCAGTTAGAGCAGTTGATCCCAGATTACATGCCCGCCTGCTTTTGACTTTCCCTTTTGAGAGGACACATTTAAGATCTAGCATTTCTGTATGGTTCCCTCCTTAATCAAGTACTTACCTCCTGGTGCAGACAGAGTCAGGGGGAGACTTGAGGCAGACAGCCATTCATTTCACGTCTGTCCTGTCATTTCATCTTCTTTGAAAAGCCTTAGTGGAGGTGAGTCCTTCTTGGCGCAGCATAACAATCATCAGTGTCCACGCGAGGAGACACTGAGAGGCTTCCTCATGAATCAATTTCTGAACGTTTTTTCAGTTCTGTGATTGTGCTTTAAACTTTCGATAGTGGCTCAGAATACATGTTTGCCGCAATTTTATTTCTTTAGGTAAGGTTTTAAAATGTTTCCATATCTTAATGGTTGCTTATTATAGAATACCAGTGTGAAATAAGCTAGAGACTCCCATAGGGATTTGGGCTTATGTGCAAATGTGAACAGTTCTGAAAACTGAATTTCACTGGATTGTTCTAGACCTTGAGGAAATGAAGGTGTTTTTGGCTCCTTGCCTGTCAACCCTATGAAGGTTCCTAGATTCATCTTAGAAAATCATCTCCCGGGAAAAGAATTTTTTCTTTGCTGCTCTGTTAGGATCTCTGGTCAGCATCTCCTGAAGCCCAGCCCTGCAAGGCCTCTGGTGCTTCTCCGGTAGCTGAGTTTTTTGTAGCCTCCTGGTTACCATCCATTTTAAGATTCTTGTCTTGAGCATACATTGAGGAACCTTAAGAGGAATGCCACCTCCTTTAGCCTATCGCAGGCCATCATTTTACCAACCTTTCTTTTCAGATGCCTCAAAAATAGATGCTTTCTTTATAGGATGAAGTTCATCTACAATGTAGATGAATCCATAAAAGTTTTAAAGGTTCCCACAGAGAAACCACTGCACATAAATGTCTTAGAACAGAAGGCCATTCAGAGTTTCAAGGCTGATTTGCAGGTGAAAAACTGTATTTATGAAAACATATTTAATCCAAATGCAGTGTTCCCAGATGGTGGCTCTGTCAGCCCCTGGCCTCTGAGCCCAGAGTGGAAGGCATTGCGTGGATCTCTGAAGCACATTGTCCATGAATATTCACTACTGTTGTGGGAAAGCAGTGTAGAAAGGAATGAGTTCACACCAATGACACACCAATTACAGGGGACTTTATAGCTAGTTAGTTTTTAAGGTCCTCGGATGGTGGTGGTGGTGAACCCTTTTGGGAGTCAAGTTACACTTAATATTTGTTGACTTTTCCTATGATGTCTGCTACCTTAGCAAATACTCTTCTGATAGATTCTTATTTAGTGATCTCCAAAGTGATAATAAAACCATCATTTTAGTGGGAAGATCATTCCAATGGCATTATTCTGGCATAGGGAAGTATAGAGACCAGTTAAGAAACCACTTGTTATCCTTATGAATAATCTGACATACTGTCTTTGTAAAAGTACAGGACAGGGGGCGGAGCCAGGATGGCGGCGTGAGTAGAGCAGTGGAAATCTCCTCCAAAAACACATAGAGCTATGAAAATATAACAAAGAAAACTCTTCCTAAAATAGAGACCAGAGGACACAGGACAACATACAGACCACATCCACACCTGCAAGAACCCAGTGCCTTGCGAAGGGGCTAAGATACAAGCCCCGGCCGGGTGGGACCCGAGCGCCCCTCCCACCGGCTTCCAGCGAGTGCTTTTTGGAAGCCTTAAAGGGACAGGGACCCTGGTGCTAGGGAGGCAGGGCGGTGGGACCGGTGAGTGGGTGCCTGGGACCGGCGCCTGAGGACAAAGAATATACCGCGTTTTTCCCTGTGGGACCAGAGGGCGGGTGCCTGAGACCGGCGCCTGAGGACGTGGGAAATCACGCATTTTTCCCCTTTTTTTTTCTCTTTTTGGTGAGTGCTTTATGGAAGCCTTAAAGGGACAGGGACCCTGGTGCTAGGGAGGCAGAGCAGTAGGACCGGTGAGCGGGTGCCTGGGACCGGCGCCTGAGGACAAAGAATATCGCGCGTTTTTCCCTGCGGGACCAGTGGGCAGGTGCTTTTTGGAAACCTTGAAGGGACAGGGATCCCGGTGCTAGGGAGGCAGGGCGGCAGGACCAGT